GCTCCCTCAGCACTGGCCCTCCGACAGTGCGGCGCTCCCTCAGCACTACAGTGAAGTATCAGACTCGATGTCTCTGTGTTCAAGCCACAGTGTGTGAAGTAAACTGTAACCTTGTGACTGCAAGAACAACCGAGCTGAGGCTGACCCTCAGAGATTGGAGTCAGGAGAATCTCAGAATCCTGAAGTCACAAAGGCCTGGATCAGGATTCCAGCAGCAGGTGAAAGGACTGTCAGGATTCAGTGTGTACAACATCCCCTCCCAAGACACTCATCTTAGACATACAGACTCAGGTCAAAAAGTTTGGCACTCATTTCCACAATTTCTCAATGTGCACTATCCATTCACTCAGATCATGTGTCATAATCCTGCCTTATTAACTGAAAATATTTTTAAACATTTTATTCAAGATGTAGATGTGGAGCAACATGGGCATTTTTCTCTTGGAGAAGAGAAGGCTCAGGGGTAGAAGTATATAAATCTTTAAATTTCTGAAGGGGCTCGACAAGTTGGATAAAAAGATGTTTACTTGTGGGAGGGATCAAAATAGGAGCCATAAAACAAGACAGCCACTAATAAACTGAAAAGGGAAGTGAAGAGAAATCTCTTCACTCGGAGAGTGGGGAGAATGTGTATCTTGGTCCCACAGGGAGCGGTCAAGCTGAATACAAGTATTTCTGCTATAAACATATTTTGTTAATGTGAATTGGCTGTAATGTGATTAATGAATAGTGGACGCTGTTTGGATAACATGAACTTTCTGTCATACAGGTATAGTGATATTCTATAGCAATTTCCCTATAATGCAATTTTCTATATGCCAGGGTCACACGAGAACACAACTATCGCATTATAGGAGAAATACCTGTCATATCGATATACTTACAGCATGGAAATAACTGCATGGCAGAGAAAGAACAGCAAAATTTGTTGATAATTTGAGATGAGATACAATGGGACGAGGCTTGTCTGAAGCTGAAACATGGGCTTCACTGAACAGGTTACTTGCTGCTGTAAATTGTACAGCTGATAATGTTGCCACCTGTGATTGGACTGGGGCAGACTGAAATGGCTGATGGTGGAAAATCCAGTTCAGCATCTGAATTGGAAATGAGCTGAAGGGTAAATCGCTGCAGAACCGGATTCAAAGCAGAAAGAGTTACAAACCCACAGCTGGGCTGGGTGGCAGGGTCAGGCAGTTTGTGCGAGATTCCTGAATTCCTAACGCAGGACCAGCAGACGGAGCTGGACTCAGCTCAGCAGGACCGGCCAGCCTAGAAAAATCTGGGATTATTCCAGAAGCCAAATGCCGATTCAGCAGATGGCAGCTGCTGCCCTCGACAGACTGAAAGAGGACTTTTCACAGCAGCATCTTTTAAATCTTCCCTTGATCTTGCTCGTGGCTCCTGGGGTTTTCTTTCTGTTTATTATTTCTGGAGGGGATGGGCTGTATCTGAGGAAGGACCTTCAATGTTGCTGCTGTGTTCGGTATGAGGGCCAGCTGTGACACAACTGACAACCAGCCAATCCTGGGTTACCCTTGCACTCTATCCAAACATACACCAAAAATCAAGCATCAATTTTTCTTCCAGAAATTAGGACCTTCTGGTTGGTAAATGAGGTTATGGTTCTGAAATAGTTAATGTGGAAGATGTACACAAGCTGATACTGTCACGTATTCCTTGATAGATAATGAGATAGTCTTGCACTAGGTCCTGATGATGTAGCATTCCCTGGCTCATGGTAGTTGTATTCACTCTATGTGTACCTTGAATTTTACGAGAATTCACCGTAAATGTTGCCATGTGCTGTGTATGTCTACAAGGTTGAGGCTCTGCCTGGCAGTTAGACTGCTCAGTTGCTTGCTACAACGTTTGTTTCATAACTTGGAATGTGTTTCACTGTTTTGAATAAAGTAAGCCAGGGTTTCTCAAATTCTGATGAGCAATTGCTGAGATTGTTCTGATTAATATAACATGGTGAGCAGTGTTGGAACAGCATGCTGACTTGGCTGATCATCTCTGAACAGTCAGCAAATTAATCTTCACCAGAAACAAAAGAATAACATCTTACATCATGCTAAAGAGGATGACACAATCCTTAAAGGCAGAGTAGGTCACTGGCAGAGGCAGGGCACTAGATCAAAGGCTAGTGCACCAACCCAAACAGACCATGCACCTGGAGTATCTTCCAGCTGCAATAAAAGATCAGCTGGTATCCCACCAGTGGCAGATACATGAAGTGATGGACAAACCAGAATGTGATGATTTACATGACAAAACAAGGAGTGGTGAACACATGTTTCAGACTGTCAATCCTATAGAAAACATTGATGTTATCAGACTGTCTGAAGTGCTCACAAAAATTCAAATTTTCTTTTCTCAGAAATCCTATGACTGTTATTGACTAAGATTGACAAAAGGACAAGGGCCAACATGCTACAGGGAAGCAATGGTTGAGTGTTATTATCATTAGAGCATTAATTCAGAACCTCAGTTCATATTCGTAAGGACTAGCTTTAAATCACATGAAGCTGTTGTCGATTGCTGGTAAAACCCATCTGGTTCACTAATGTCCTTCGCAGAAGGGAATCTGCCATCCTTACCTGGTCTGGCCTACATGTGATTCCAAGCCCACAGCAATGGAGTTGACTCTCAAGTGTCTTCTGAAAAGCCACACAGTTGTATCAATCGCTACTAAGCCTCAAGAAAGAAATGAAACTGGACAGACCACCTGGCATTAACCCAGGCACCAGAAAAGACAACGGCAGAAATAGCCCTGTCGACCCTGCAAGGTCCTCCTCACTAACACCTGGGGGTTAGTGCCAAAATTGGGAGAGTTGTCTCACAGACTAGTCAAGCAACAGCCTGACATAGTCATACTCACAGAATCATATCTTACAGACAATATCACCATTCCTGAATATATCCTGCATCACTGACAGGACACACGCAGCAGAGATGGCGGGACAGTGGTATACTGTCAGGAGGGAGTTGCCCTCGGAGTCCTCAACATTGACTCTGGACCCCATGAATTCTCACGGTTTCAGTTAAACATGGGCAAGGAAACCTCCTGTTGATTACCACATACTGTCCTCCCTCAGCTGATAAATCTGTACTCCTCAATGTTGAACAACACTTGAAGGAAGCACTGAGGATGGTAAGGGCATAAAATGTACTCTGGGTGGGGGATTTCAATGTCCACCACCAAGAGTGGCTCAGCAGCAGTACTGCTGATCGAGCTGGTTGGGTCCTAAAGGACATAGCTGCTAGACTGGGTCTGCGGCAGGTGGTGAGGAACCAACAAGAGGGAAAAACATACTTGACCTCATCCTTACCAATCTGCCAGCTGCAGGTGTATCTGTCCATGACAGTATCGGTGAGAGTGACCATCCCACAGTCCTTGTGGAGATAAAGTCCCGCCTTCACGTTGAGAACAACCTCCATCATGTTGTGTGGCACTATCACCGTGCTAAATGGGACAGACTTAAAACAGATCTAGCAACTCAAGACTGGGCATCCATGAAGCGCTGTGGGCCATCAACAGCAGCAGAATTGTACTCCAGCACAATCTGTAACCTCATGGCCTGGCATATCCCCCACTCAACCATTACCATCAAGCCAGGGGATCAACCCTGGCTCAATGGAGAGTGCCAGGAGCAGCTGAAGGTGAAGCGCGAACCTGGTGAAGCCACCAATCAGGACTACTTGCACGCCAAACAACGTAAGCAGCAAGTGATAGACGTCCCCAGCATTACAGATACCAGTCTTCAGCCAGTTTGATTCACTCCACGTGATATCAAGAAACGGTTGGTGACACTGGATACTGCAAAGGCTACAGCCCCTGACAACATTCCGGCAATAGTACTGAAGACTTCTGCTCCAGACCTTGCCGCTCCCCTAGCCAAGCTATTCCAGTACAGTTACAACACTGGCATCTACCCGACAATGTGGAAAATTGCCCAGGTATGTCCTGCACATAAAAAGCAGGACAAATCCAAACTGGTTAATTACTGCCTCATCAGTCTCCTCTCGATCATCAGTAAAGTGATGGAAGGTGTCATCAACAGTGCTATCAAGCAGCATCTGCTCAGCAATGCCCAGTTTGGGTTCCACCAGGGCCACTCAGTTCCTGACCTCATTACAGCCTTGGTTCAAACATGGACAAAAGGAGCTGAATTCCAGAGGTGAGGTAAGAGTGATGGCCCTTGACATCAAGGCTGCATTCGACCGAATGCGGCATCAAGGAGCCCTGGAAAAACTGGAATCAATGGGTATCAAGAGGTAAACTCTCCGGGGGTCAGAGTCATACCTGACACATAGAAAGATGTCTAAGGTTTTTTTGGAGTAGATCTGTAGCTCGAGTTGTGGGTGTTGAGGTTGGTTGGCTCGCCGTGCTGGTTTGTTGTTTCGCAGACGTTTCATTACCGTGCTTGGTAACATCCTCAGTGCAGCCTCCGATGAAGCGTCGCTGTGTTTTCCTGCCTGGTTTTTAAACTCTGGGGTCCGTTGAGATGGATTGCCTCACTTCCGGTTACTCACTCATCTCAATCCACATGGACAAGGTGAACCACCACTTTGACTGGGACAACACCAAGATCCTGGGACAGGCTAGGCAGAGACAGGCACAAGAATTCCTAGAAGCATGGCACTCCACGAAGCAAGCCATTAATAAACACATTGAACTCGACCCCATATACATTCCACTACGAAGGAAACCCAGAAGTGAGGCAATCCATCTCAACGGACCCCAGAGTTTAAAAACCAGGCGGGAAAACACACCGATGCTTCATCGAAGGCCGCACTGAGGATGTTACCCAGCAGGGTAATGAAACGTCTGCGGAACAACAAACCAGCACGGTGAGTCAACCAACCTCAACACATAGAAAGATGGTCATGGTTGTGGGAGGTCAATCATCTCAGCTCCAATACATCTCTGCAGCAGTTCCTCAGGGCAGCCTCCACGGCCCAATCATCTTCCACTGCTTCATCAATGACCTTCCCTCTATCAAAAAGTCAGAAGTGGGGATGTTCGCTGATGATTGTATAATGTTCATGACTCCTCAGATACTGAAGCAGTCCATGTTCAAATGCAACAAGATCTGGACAATATCCAGGCTTGGGCTGACAAGTGGCAAGTAACATTCACGCCACACAAATGCCAGGCTATGACCATCTCCAATTAGAATGAATGTAACACCACCCTTGACATTCAATGGTATTACCATCACTGAATTCCCTACTATCAACATCCTGGAGGGGCATTATCATTGACCAGAAACTGAACTGAACTCGTAGCCACGTTATGTGACAAGTGCAGGTCAGAGACTAGGAATCCTGCAGCGAGTAACTCACCTCCTGACTCCCCAAAGCCTGTCCACCATCTACAAGGCACAAGTCAGGAGTGTGATGGAATACTCCCCACTTGCCTGGACGGGTGCAGCCCCAACCACACTCAAGAAGCTTGACACCATCCAGGACAAAGCAGCCCCCGCTTGATTGGCACCACATCCACAAACATCCACTCCCTCCACCACCAACGCTCAGCAGCAACAATGTGTACTGTGTACAAGATGCATTACAACAACTCACCAAAGCTCCTTCGACAGCATGTTCCAAACCTTCAACCACTTCCATCTAGAAGGACAAGGGCAACAGATACACGGGAACACCTACCACCTGCAAGTTCTCCTCCCAGCCACTCATTTTCCTTATTTGGAAAGATATCACCGTTCCTTCGGTGTCACTGGGGTCAACATCCTGGAATTCCCGCCCTAAGGGCATTGTGGGTTTACCTACAGCACATGGACTGCAGTGATTCAAGAAGGCAGCTCACCCCCACCTTCTCCAGGGAAACTAGGGATGGGCAATAAATGCTGGCCAGCTAGTCGCGCCCATACCCCACAAGTGAGTAAAAAGAAATCACTCTGAATTCAATGGCTGTTAAGATTCTCTTATGGTCTATCTGATACAAGTGATAATCAAACAGACCCTTAGATAGCATATAAAAAAGGATTAGGGACTCTGTATTTCAGTCGTAGTGTCCTTAGGTCTGAGCCAGGAGGCCTGGGTTCAAGTCTCAGCCTGCTCCTGAGGTATGTCGTCGTATGTCTGATTAAGTTGGTTAAAAACATCTACAATCTCTTTCAGGGGCTCTTGTGAGGCAATGGTAGTGTCTCCACCTTTGGACCAAAGGTTTGGGTTCAGGTCCTAACTGTCCTCGAGATGTATAGTTGCATGTCCCAACAGTTTGATTAAAACAACTAGAAAGGAGGATTGGTGGCAGCAAAGCAGGCCAAACAGCAGCTCCAGTTGTTGTCACCCAGATACCACCGTAAGGGGCACCACATTCATCCATTAACCAGAGCAACTAGTCGCTCTTGCTTCAAGATAAAAGCAACCAGAGGAGCATCAGTGAAGCTATTTAAAATGTAGCACAAATCTCAGATTTCTTCAACAAGAGAGGACAGAGGGTGGAACTCAATGTTGAATCTATTACAGGGTCAGAAACTATTTACCCAAGGGAGTAAGGTTAGCATTAAACATACTAATTGTTTTCTGTCTATCAGTGCCAACACATTAAATAAACCTTCAATCCGGGAACTGTTTGCTCAATATTTCAAGGTTGACATGCATTCTTTCTAGGAACTTTGATAAATTTGACATTTTTTTTCTGGAATGTTCCAGGATAACATCATACAGTTCAAGACTTTAACTTCAAGTTTCTCACTGTGTAAAGCAGTTCTACTGGAAGTTTAAACTAAGAGACAAACTGCCACAGCTTTATGCCAAGTCTCAGGAAGATTAGGAACATGGGGCCTTCATTCAGACTCTGGTAGACAGACAAGAAGGGATATTTTAAAAAACTTAAGCAAGTACGATCGATTATTGACACTAAACTTTAGACATCACATTGGAACATTTTTAAAACTGGAAAAGCGGAGAGAATGCAGGGGCCTAGCTGAACAGGCTGACTACAGTGAGGTCAGACACACAGGTTCCAGGAGTTAATTTTCCCCAAAACTCAGTCCTGACCCTTTCAGATAATTACTCAAGTAATTTATTTTTTACCACTGAGGAGATCAGCCATATTAATTCTTTCCAAAGTTTAGAAGGCTGAGGAAGAGTGGATAATTTGAAAACATTATGTCTGAAACTGTCAATTGTTAAATTTGGACAAACCTATTATTCGGAGCTATTATCCTGACTGCAAACCTCAAAGATGTTTAAAATCGTGAATATGTAAATCTTCAAGAGGTGCCGCTGTCAAAGACTATTCCAGTGGCGACAGACACTTGAACAGAACAGTGTAATATTAAATCTTACGGTTGATCTTTAAAACTCTGCATTTTGAGAAATAACACAATAGCTAAGACGATTTAATCGCAATACAGAATTGCTGGAAGGGTTGGCATAGCTTTGATGAGATTTGGACTAAATTATACTGAAAGGATCCCAAAACTCATGATTAGCTTCTCATGAATAAGATTAAAAATAATTTGTACTTTCTCCTAGAGTCTTCTGTAGAAGGTCATGTTTTGCCTGTAGTTTGGTGATCAGGTTTCTGCCTTCAAAATATTCTTTCAGTTTCTGTGAAAAAAGCAGGGAACAATAGTAAGGCAACACCAGAGAGGAGACTGGGACCAGCTGCCTGCCCCTTAAAAATCTTTACTGTCTTGAAAACACATGCGCAGCAGATCCTTCGGAAATTTTAAGTAGTCAATGTGCTTGAAAATTAATGAATGAGAAACGTTAAAGTGTTCTGACCCATCAACTGGGACATGCAGAGCTCTGACTGGGTGGCAGGAGCACAAAGGAGATAACAAGGTGTAGAGCTGGATGAACACAGCAGGCCAAGCAGCATCATAGGAGCAGGAAGGC